GTGAGATGCCATCTAGTGGCCATACCCACATGGTGGAAGAATATATAAATGAGATGACATCTAATATGGAAGTTGTATTAAAAGAGTTTGTACAAACTTCCAACGAACTTCTCGTCCAAGGTTTACATAGGATTTCATCTCAACTTAGCCAACGAGCCGAGGGGCAAACCCTCAACCCTAACCTTATTTCTCAATCACAAGAGGAAATTTCTGATATGGTTGCAATTAGACCACCCGTTCCACCTACTCCTCTAGGGAAAAATGAGGTTGGTAGAGAATGTGAGAGTTAGAAAAAGGTGGGCGAGATGACTTTAAAATCGAATATTCAAGGCGACCTTCCTATTGAGAATCTGACATTGGTTGAGGAAAATGAGTCCACCCAAGGGGATGAGATGCAAAAGGTGGTCACCAATGAAAATTGCACTATGGTCCAACCCAAGGCAACCATTCTAAGATGTAATGGCCTACAATCTAGTGAAAAAGAAGGGCGGAGCATGACCCAAGATGCAATAATGATAGACATGATTGTAGGAGAAAAGCTCAACATTGTGATACCACAATTGCAAGTGGTCAAGTTTATTGAGCCCCAACCAAAGGCCAAGATTGGCCGACCAAGTGGATTTAGGGGGCATGAAGGGTCAGCCACAGTGATGGCCAGAAGTCATCCTGGTCGTACTAGTCGTCATAGTATTTCAACTCATCGCCAACAAAATGGCAAGATCCGAGTCGAGAATAAGAAGGGCTCCAAGCTTGGAGTAAAACATGGTTAGCCACCGCCATGGTCTTCATGAAAATTTTGTTTTACGCGGCCACCTACTAGGTAGGCCGTTAAGATTCTAATAAAGGTCATGGTTCATTCTTGAACGCATTGGCCACTTTTTTTAAAAATTTATTTTAAAAAAAGGTTCAAGATTGAGTTTCGTCGGCGGAAGATGAATGACGCCTTGATTTCGGCCACGGAAGTTGAAGCTTGTGATTTTCGGGCGAAAGATGGCTTGGGGGCATGTCCACCACCCAAGTAATCCGCCGGAGGAATTCACATCACTTTGATCATAATCAGATGGTTGGCTCACTCCCCATGAACGCTCGACCACAAACTGTCCCGAATACTAAACATGGCCAAAATGGCCTTGGCCGAGCCATGGCCGTCGGCCTCGATACGTGTTGGTTGAAGATGTACGAAAGTCGCTGGAGGACAAGTCTTGAGGCAGAATCCGTCCATTTCATTGGAAGTCTAAAAACTCATCCGTGCAATGGAGAAGACACCAACACATATAACCCTGGAGGAGCTCTGAGTGAGAAAGATCCTGAGTGTTTATACATGGAAGACACCAACACACTTCAGCCACACCCTATCCCTGCCACAACGAATGTTAGAGAGGTCCCTACATCAGCTATTGAGCTTACCAAAGAACCTACAATAGCTTCCCCTTCCAAGGAGCGAATATATGTGCCTCAAGTTCCTTTTCCACAAAGACTACAGAAGCACAAGAGAGATCAACAAACAACGGATATTCTGGAATTATTTAGAAAGGTTCAAATAAATATTCCATTGTTGGATGCAGTGAAGCAAATCCCAACTTATGCTAAATTCCTCAAGGATCTTTGCACAAACAAGCGAAAGTTTGCTACACATGAGAAAGTGATGTTGTTCGAGGAATGCAGTGCAGTTCTCCTTAAGAAATTGCCACCAAAACTTAAGGATCCAAGGAGTTTTACAATTTCTTGCATTATTGGAAATTTACATATTGAAAAGGCTTTAATTGATTTGGGTGCAAGTATCAACTTAATGCCTTACTCTATATTTCAGTAGCTAGGCATTGGAGAGATCAAACCAACTTCTGTGAGCTTGCAACTAGCTGATAGGTCTATCAAATATCCACTTGGAATCGTTGAAGATATACTCATCAAAGTGGATCAATTTGTTCTTCTAGCAAATTTTATCATCCTTGACATGGAGGAAGATAGAGAAGTTTCCATCATTATGGGACATCCTTTTATGGCTACTGCTGGTACCATAATTGATGTGAAGAAAGGTTTATTGTCCATGATTGTGCAAGGCCAAACTGTTGAGTTCAAGGTGTTTGAGGCCATTAAGAAGCCCGTGGAGATGGACGAGTGTTTGTGTAGATGCCATTGATACTATTGCCCACACCACTTTCCTAGCTAATGTCAACAAGGATGAACTTCTCCCATGCCTAGCCAACCCGGAGCTAAGATAAGATCCCAATGAGGCCCAACACCTTGTAGCAGCCTTGGATTCGGCACCTATTCAGTTCCCAAGGCGGCATCACACATATGAGCCAC